GCTTTCAGTAACTTTCAAACGGTAGTTACAACCTCCTATAAGCTGCTTTGTCTGGGAGGTATCCTGTATTATTGTGCGTCTGCACCTCCACCTGGGGCCGGGTATGTCCCTTGTGTTTGCAGAAATCCGTTTGTCGCCCTCTTGTGTCATGATGTGTCCATCTTCACTACAAAGGGTGGGAGACTTGTGGTTGGGATAATGAAGTCGGACTGCTTTCAACATAACTGTGCAAGTCCAGTCAGGCGTGCATAACGGTACGCTTGGTGTAATTTTTGTTTAATTGCAGCGGGGTCTTCTCTGTCAGGCGCAAATTGAACGACATGGTGCATTGTCTGTGGGAAGTTATCTCCAAGAGGAGAAGATGTGGATTTTACAACACATTATTTTGTTGTCGATCATGAAAATAAAACAGGAAATACGTGTAGAGTTTTACATTTTTTACATTCAGTGAGTGGAACCGCATGCTGCTCAAAATGACCCAGTCATTAAAGTCCATTACGATATTTTCAGCTCTTTTGTTAGAGAAATATCAACACCAACCGCATGATCTTGGAAATTGCTGCTTTTTAATCCTGAATATGAACTTGACTGTGTGTGAAATCATGTCAGTGTTGTCACAGTTTCAAGAAACTTCGAAGGTTCTGACCAATGTGCATAATGTTCATGTGCTTTGGGAGGTTCTTGCAGCTATAGAAAAAAGTGTTACTAATTAACTCCAACTTCAAATCAGGACCGTAAATGAAAAATTTAAAAGGCAGCATCAGGAAAGCTTAGGCCATTTCCGAAATTTGCTTCCAGAGCTATGGCTAGCTCTATTGTCTACGCGTCTCCACGCAATTCCAGTGGAGCGAAGATCTAGACCTAGCTCTAGACAAGAGATTCGGATGCAGCCTAAGTCTTTTCAGCTCTGCATGACAAGGTAGTAAACTCTACCTAGTTACATGTACCTATTAAAATTTATGAGGAACTGGAATGCGTTCAGTGTCCTCGGAAGTCATAAAAAAAGCCATTTACCATAAAACATTTGTTGTACATGTAATACAGGCCGAGGGAAATAATATGGTGAAAAGAAAATTACATAACTCATTTGGCAATTGTGCTACAAACAGAAAAAAAAAAATTACACATTCAAAATTTTGGACAAAGCAAGGACATTTCACAGCTTTCAGTAGAGGGCGACATCACCCGTTTCTCTGTGCCGTTGCTTTGGCGACACACTGCAGCCAGCTGGGGAATGCCGTCCCTTTTGGCCAATTAGCAGCCAGACTGGATGTGACAGTAATATCGGTGCACTTCCTGTCGTCGTCCATCAAGTGCAAATGGCAGGTAACCACAAGATCACGTTTATAACGATCGCCACATTTTTTCCCTCTTCTTGTTGCGGCACAGTTGTTCAGCAGAGACAGACCACGTACATATTCCCAAGGCCGCACGCATCACCACTTTATCAGGACTCTTCCCTAAACAAGTCTTCACAGATTGATGGAGATTGATGACTTTTTTTACGCAGCGCTCGATGCCCTTTTATTTCTTCTCCTGACCCAACCGTTCGCAAGTAATTTGGTCCTAATTAAGACAAAGGCCGGCCACTGTTTGTCGCTGTTAGTGGACATGACATTTTAAAAATGAAACTGCCAAAACAGAGTTTTAAGCAGTACACGTAGTTTGGCATTCTGTAATTCATTGAAATTTTTTCTTTGCTGTCTTTACAATTCCTGGATATTATCAGCAGTTAAACCTTGGCTTCAATGACTCACGTATGTAATTTTTTGGTCGAACTGTTTTGCCAGCATCAGTTATACAGAAAATCTGGGCTTTTGATTTCCTTTTGTAGGTCAATTAAAAAAGAATTATTGTAGGTGTATCAAACGTTGTACATGTAGGTTCTATGTAGGCATGCACGATTTTTGGAGCGATCAGATTGGAGAAATTCATTCACACTAGTTCTAAATTAACTGGTGGTTTAATAGCGCAAAGAAAAATGGCTTTTTTTTTTTCTTGTCTCACCGTTGGCAAAAAAGTCAGAAATGCTAGAACTGTTTGTCATGAATGTTACGTCCAAACATACCCAAACAACCAAAAAAGCTCCAGATCACAAAATCCTCTCAAATCTTTTTTTTAGCATCACCACATATTTGTATTGAACCCCTTGGCAATTAATTATGGTTGACCTGTCTGTCATATTTCACTGCATTGTTTTCAAAGCCAAAATGTGTCCAAAAATCCCCCCTTGCATTAACCCGCCCTCCGATTCATTGTTCACCGATTCACCGTGTCTACCATGACGCTATCCACCCTCAACCCCCTCCCAAACCCCAATTGTGTTTCATGTCCTCCTTAAATCTCATCTCTCACGGCCCCCCTCCACCCCCACCCTCAACATGATTGAAGATTGAATAGCTCTCCTCGCCAACCTCTCAGAAACCTGGAGACAGGCTCTCCACTCCATCTCAAAACAGAACAGAGAAGCTCCTGTTGACACAAGCGCAGGGGTTTCAATGTCACCGTTTCAGCAATCTGGAGGTGTTTTTTTTTCTTCCCCTCTGCTTTGGTCGAGCTGCGCACAATTGGAATACGCATTTCATTTGATCATTTCATTGATCTTTCCTGATCTTTTCAGGAAGTGATGTGTCTTTCTCAGGTATTTTTTTCTAGATTTCTGCAAAGTTGATACTGTAAAGAAAAATACAGTGGCTTTTTTGTTCTTTGTTTCATTTCTATTGCCTTTGTCAGGTTATTCGCTGTTCTCATTTTGGGGGGAGAGAATCTACGTGTACATGTAATTCAGAGTCTTTTTGTGGTATGTGTATGGTGCTACTTATCGTCATATACATAAAGAATGTTGATGAGTGCAATACCGTAGGTGGAACAATTTTATGAGGTGAGAGATGGAACATGGTATCGAATGATATTCATTCCTGTGAAGGAATATGAATATTCATTACTTGTGTCATACATCTCCATAATAAATGTCCGCATTCTCTACGAATTTCGAAAGTTGGTGTAATCGTGGATTAGAACATTCTTAGTTACTGGGCAACGTGGATTGGGACATTTTATTTTTGCAGCGTGGCCACTTGCTGCATGCTGGCAGGAATCCCTCAGCGGCATGTGATCTCCTATGTACAACGTTAGGATAAGATGGCAGGGATTTCTTCAGGTGTTGTTGAAGTCTGACTGACTGACTTGAAGATGTAATACATCTTCTAAGACCACCATAGTGATAAATGAATTGAGACTTGGTCCAAGACCTTGAATCAAGAGGGATAATGCTCTGAAGTTTAGTAAGCTTCTCAGCTTGGCCAAGCTTTGAATGAATCAGTGTCATTTTTAGGTAGCTTAAGTTCCCATCCAACAAATGCATGCCTTAACATTGCTTATCCAAACTTAGTATTATAATCTGGTGAACGAGTACACTCTGTCCTGATTGATACCTGTGCATGAAAAAGTCAAGGTGGTGAATCATGTCTTGCTGATTAGTTGCGATGTCCAAAGACCGAGCTGTTTTCAACTTTTCGGATGGGGCATTGCGACTTCTCTGACACAAGGCCTCTCCAGCATCTCAACATTAAGTCACCACCTCCTCGAATATGCCAGAGGATCCTTTGCATTGCCAAATGAAGGAGGGTTGACAGGAAGGAAAGGGAGAAAGGAGAACAAAAAGGAGAAAAAAGGAGTCAACCTCTGACGTCTTAGAGCGAGGCATGGAAGTGGAGGGGCACTCGACGCGGGTGGCATTCCTCGTCTTCCAACAAGGGGGGGGTTGGTGTTTTAATTAAAGCGCTCGGCTGGACACTTGAACCACGTTTGGTGAGATCTCAGCCGTCGAGAAGCTTAATAACATTCCTGGAGTGTATTGTAGCATCTGAATGGCAATGGGAGAGCTGTTGTATAAGGGGGGATTCAAGCCACGAACTCCCAACCCTACCCCTTCCCCGCAACGTAACTCAAGTCTTAAAGCTGTGGCTCTGAAAAAGTGGGGAAGGGCTCTATCGGTTGCGTACATGCGACAGTTTGCATAATGGGAAAAGTGT